TTCGGACCAGAATGGTGTTTTAGAATGAAGAAATCAAACATTAATGGACATGGTGAGGAGTATGAGAATTAATGTGAAACTTCATCAGTTTTTATGGACTGAAGCACTAAAAACGGTTGCGTATATATTGAACCGGGTACTAACCAAGGCTGTCTCAAGGACACCTTTTGAATTATTCAAGGGTTAGAAGCTGAGTTTGCAACATATACGTGTTTGGGGATGCCCGTCTAAGGTGAGAATTTATAATCCACAAGAAAAGAAGCTAGATTCGAGGACTATTAGTGGGTATTTCATTGTATGCTGAAAAGTTCAAATAATATAAATTCTATTGTCCATCTCATAGCATTAGAATTGTGGAATCGAGAAATGAGAAATTTCTCGAGAATGACTTGGTTAGTGGGAGTGATCATTTTCAAGATACTCATTCTGAAAATCACTCTAAAGATCAACCTACTGAATCGAGTGATATATTGATTGTCTTTCACACTTCTCAAGTTCCAACACGTATTAGATGATTAACTAATGAAGTTCTACAAACTGTTGAAAATGATCATGTAGATCTAGTTGTTAATGAAGAACATCAAGAAAATGTTGAACAACCTGATGATGAATCAGTTGGTCAGCAAGTTCTTTATGATATTGATGAGACAACATTGAGAAGATCTACACGAGTCAGAAAATCAGCTATTTCTAGTGACTTTATGGTGTATCTTCAAGAATCCGATTACGATATAGAAGCCGAAAATGATCCTGAAACATTCTCACAAGCCATGAATTCTAAAGAATCCGATTTATGGCATGATGCTATGAAAGACGATATGGATTCTATGGCATCAAACAAAGACTAGGACCTTGTCGAGTTGCCTGATGGTGTAAAAGCCATCGGATGCAGATGGGTCTTCAAAACCAAAAGAGACTCTAATGGCAACATCGAAAGACATAAAGCAACACTTGCCACCAAAGGATTCACTCAAAGGGAAGAAATCGATTACACCGAGACATTTTCTCCGTTATCTAAGAAAGATTCCCTCCGTGTGATCATGGCATTAGTAGCTCAGTTTGATTTTGAGTTACATCAAATGGATGTGAAAACAACATTCCTAAATGGTGATCTAGAGGAAAAGGTTTATATGAAACAACCTGAAGGATTTACCTCTAGTGGTGGAGAAAATTTAGTTTGTAAGCTTAATAAATCCATATATGGATTGAAGCAAGCCTCCCTCTAATGGTATATGAAACTTCATGATGTTATCTCTTCATTCGGCTTTGAAGAAAATGTCATGGATCATTATATATACCAGAAGGTTAGTGTGAGTCGTATTTGCTTCCTTGTGTTGTACATGGATGACATTGTGCTTGCAACTAATGATAAAAGGATGTTATATGAGGCGAAACAATTTCTCTCTAGGAACATTGATATGAAATATACGGGAGAGGCATCTTATGTCATTGGAATTAAGATCCACAGAGATAGAAATTGAGGCATTTTGGGTTTGTCTCAAGAAGCCTATATCAAGAAATTTCTAGAAAGATTTAATATGAAAGATTGTTCACCGAGTGTAGCTCCCATTGTGAAGGGTGACAGACTCGATTTGAGTCAGTTTCCGAAGAATGACTTTGAAATGGAACATATCAGAAATATCCCTTATGCTTCAGTAGTAAGAAGTCTTATGTATGCTCAGGTTTGCACCAGGCCTGACATAGCATATGTTGTTGGAATATTAGGAAGATATAAGAGTAATCCAGGTGTTGACCTCTGGAAAGCTGCAAAGAAAGTGATGAGGTACCTTCAAGGTACGAAGGATTTCATGTCTCATGTATAGACAAATTGATGTCTTGGAAGTGATTGGCTACTCCGATTCGGACTACGCTGGCTGCATTGACACTCGGAAATCCACATCGGGTTATGTGTTCATGTTGGCTGGTGGAGCTATCTCTTGGAGAAGTGCGAAGTAGTCTATCACTGCTACTTCCACTATAGAGGCTGAGTTTGTTTCATGTTTCGAGGTTAGCTCACATAGTGTATGGTTGAAGAGTTCCATATCCGAGCTTAAAGTCATTAACTCTATTTCTAGACTGATCAAGTTGTACTATGACAACTCTGCTGCGGTGTTTATGGCTAAAAACAATAAGAGTGGGAGTCGAAGTAAACACATCGACATAAAGTATTTAGCCTTAAGAGAACGTGTCAAGGAAAATAAAGTGGTCATTGAACACGTTAGTACAGAGTTGATGGTTGTTGATCCCTTGACTAAAGGCATGCCATTAAAGAATTTCAAGGATCACATAGCAACTATGGGACTTGGTTCTACAATGTAGTTTATTTGTGCACATTGTTATTTGAGACTCTTATTCAGTTTGATGTTTTTTTCACATTATTATGCACATATTTGTTTATTATTGAGAAAACTCGCTTAAGTTTAACCCGGAATAAATATATGACTTATTCATTAAGTTGTGAATTTAGTTTGAGATGCTTGACATATCGTGCATGGAAGGTAACATTCGTTTATAGAAGACCTACCGTCATGATTCGTATGTAAAGTTTCTCATTATGTTGTGATGGTTTGAGTGGGCCAAGTGGGAGAATGTTAGTTTAATTAATTAATCACATTTAATTTTTGATTATCTTATATAATTAAAATAACCCTAAATTGTGGCCCACTTTTCTCCCATTAAGTCTATCACATTCAAAATATACGTGAGAAGTGGCAGAAAAATCGTGATGGACGGTTTTTCTTTTTAATTATAAATACTCTCACATACGGGTTACTAAACATACTCTCAGAAAATTAGAATACACCATCGCTATTTGAGAGTAAGGGTTTGGCATCATCTTCCTAGAGTTCCAGGGTTTGGCAACATCATCATAGGCTTCCAGGGTTTGGCAATATCATCCTAGGATTCCAAGGTTTAGCAACATCTTCCCAAGGTTTCAACCTACTGTTTGCTTGAAGAAGAAGATCTCACTAACAAATTTAAATTTTAACAATGGCTGAAGATTTGTTTAAATTTCGTTATTCGTTTCCGCTAACATATTTAATTTAAGAATTATTTCTAACAAAGACAACTCAGGTTCGGTTCAAGTTCAGTTGGTTCTGACATCACATATAGAGGGAGTGAATCTTAGTTGGAATCCAGATCGATTTCTCAACTAACAAGATGAATTCCCACACTAATTTTAATAATTTGCTGGAAGATCTATTATTTTTAGATAATTCAAATATTTGTAAATTGATTTCTTCTAAATATCAAGAGCAAAGTTTAATCCTATCAAGAGTAGTAAACTCGTGACCGTGTGCTCATTGTTCAAAATCCCAATGTCACTACATTTTGTCTGCAATTTCCCACGTGGTAAACAGAAAAGGATATTATCTCTCTCCACTACACTAGATCATAATAAAAGAAAAAAAAAAAATTCAATTCTTTGAGTTGTTCTTTGTGGGGCTGCCCACCGGAGACCAGAGATGCGTTTAACAATCAGCTGATAGCTTTTAGTTGTTAATTGATTTTGTTAGTTGTTAGTTGATTCAATTAGCTGGTTTGTCTAACTGATTCAATTAACTGTTTATATTATAATGTTTGGCAAAACAACGGTTTGACATTAGGCGTTTATACGTAAAATGACAATTAAGGACATTGATATGTTATTTTTTAAAATATTTAATTTTGTTCATTTTGATTTAAAATTATGAGATTTTTTGTTATTAATTATTGAAAATTATAAAAATATTATAAAATATTCATATTTATTTTTTAGATTTGAGAAAAATATTTTTATTAAAAAATCCTTCGTATATACTATCTCCGTCGGGCTTTCTTTTTGTGTGTTATATTTAAATATTAATTATTATATCACAACATAATACAAATTAAAAAAAAAAATTTGCAAAAATATTTTCATTAGTGTCTTATAATACTAATAGAAGGACAAGTAAAACATTATACAAATATAAGGATATTTTTAATGTTAAAGTAAAATGATGCAAAAGGTAAATGCGACTCTTAGAGAGTGAGGGGGGAGTATATTTTTATTATGTTAATTATTGTTTATTAATGATTAGTGTAAAATTTATCTAATAAAAAAATATATAAATGAATTAATAATATTTGTCTTTTCTATTTGATTTAATTTTAATAGATTTATATATTTTATAAACAAAATTATTTATATGTAATAATTAATAATAGTTACTATTACTTTAAATTTATAAAAATAAAATCATAATTTAATAAATTAAATATATTAAAAATAATTAATAAATAATGAAATAAAAATATATTTATGCATATAAAATAAATTAAATAAATAAGTTTAATGTAAATAAGGAATAAACAAAATTAAAGTGAAAGAGCTCTAAAAAGCTGGTACATTAGGTTTTTGGAAATTAATTTTTTTTATAAAAAAATTATTTCAAAAAGTTAATTTACCAAAAACAAAAATTATTTTTTTAATTGGTCAAACAATTAAAAGTCCCAAACACCCTTGGATATACACTCTTTTGAAGTTTTTTTTTTTTTTTTTATTTTGTTTATTAATAATAACTTTTAAAAAAAAAAATCATCAAAACAAATCACTAAATAAATCTATCTAAACCATATCTAAGAATTTTCCAACCATAATTTGAAATGTAATTAAAATTTGCAATCAATTTAGGGATACAAAATTAAATTTCGTGCGGATTCTTGCACATTGGACGAGATCTATTCTATTCAGTCAATTTATGGAAAAAAGAACTCTTTTATTCCTTCACTGAAAGTTATATGATGCAAACTTGAAACTAGGACATGTCACATGTATATGTTCTCACACATAAAATCTCTTACAAGTTGCTGCAAATACGTAACTTTTGGTGGCGGCTGCATTGCTAAATTTAATTTCAGCGTAATATTGAAATTAAAAAGCACACAATATTATTATAAACAACACATTATATATATATATTAATATAATATAAATATATGAACAAAGTTATAGTCTCATACCGCACATACAACAGTTAATTTTATATAATACATATATAATTATGAACAAACAACATATATCTTTGTTACACACAAGATGTATTTTATATAATAAGAACATGTGTTGTTTGTATATATTATGGGTGCTGATTTTCTACGGTGCTGAATTTTCTAAATCAGCACCATAACCATTCCCGGTAGTTCGGCAGTAGATAGTGTCATCGAAAAAAATAGAGTATATAGTCTTGAGCCTCGATCTGTTTGTGAGCTTTCGGTGATTGATTTTCTTCTTCAAGCTAAGCCGTTAAATCACCAATTTCTATGGGGTTGAATATGGCTGCTTCTATGTATTTCTTTATCCCTGTTTTCGAATATGTAAGTCCATCTGTGCCTTGATTGTAACATATGAATGAGAACCTTACAGCGTTAACTGCAAGCATCAGAAATTCCTTCGGCTTGCCCTTCATAGAAACCCATTCCCTATTTACTTCCATCCATGCATCCTCCGCGAGCTCATGAAACTTAGCCATTGCTTCTTCTTTTGATGCACCATAATCCTTCATGTAGCAATCAATTGATGAACTTGGAAATCCACTTGCATTTTGTTCGCGCTTCAAATTAAACCGATCGACGTAAATTAGTTATAAATTGATGATAAAAAAGTGTGCAGAGTTTTCTTACAAGGAGTATGAGAGATTAGATATAGGAAGTGAAACGTACTTCATAGCTGGCTATATCATTAATCAATCGAGTGTATAAACCGGCGGCCTCCACAATTTTAGGCCTCCTCAAGAGCCATTCGAATGCTTCCTTTGAGGCGAATTCCATACCCATCATGCAAGATGACAATGTTACCGGGGTTACACTGTCTACGCAAGCATTGGAAATACTCTCTTGAAATGTTGGTGTCTCACCTCCCACATACCACTTGGCTCTTGTAAGGTAACTCCTAATAGCAAATTTTAGCTTCACACAACCACACAACATAAGAATAATAATGATGTATAGTTCTTGGATGTTTTTTTTTTCTTTTTTTTGTCTTTCTTAATTGCATTTTAACTGCAACAAATAAATTAAAGTCCGTAAGATTTTCAATAAAGTTTGTGTAGCTAACGTAATTCTATCCCTAATTTTATCTCTAATGTCATTAGTAAAGGAAAAAATAGATTTAGAGACGAAATTTTTTTTTTACAAAAACGCTATTTTATTGTAGTGAGCAGTGGTCGCTAAATGAACTCCCTCGCACACACATACATGTGGATGAATAAATTAAGTAGGAGAGTGTGCTTACTTCTTCCATCGCATATGAACCTGCGAAGCTTCTGCCTTGTTTGGACAACTCCTGATCAAACTCTTCATAGGTACTCAAGACAACTTCGTAAATAATCTGCATATAATGTGGAAGCCTGCCGATTTTTTTTATATCCCACCTGAAAACATCACCAAAAAAAAAAAAGGTACTGAACTCAAGTGTTATTTGTTCACAAGGAAATGTTTTACCTTTTGTAATAAAATGAGATATACCTTTCTTGCAGAACTTCCAAGAAGGTTTTTGCTTCTTCAAGTGTCGCGTAACAATCACTCGTATCGTCTATTAGCGCCATTAGGATTATGTTTTTTGCAGTAAGTGATCGTCCAAGCGAGTATCGAGGTCTAGAAATGAATACCATAGCACAAAAATATATTTCCACCGGCCAGTCTCTTACATATGGAAGTTTCGACTTGAGGTCCCAGCCATTGTACCACCTGTGACCAGCCCACAAAACAGTTTGATTAATTCACCTGATTTTCTTACTTGCATAATATTTGATGAAATCATTACTTACTTGATGAATTCAGAGAGCTCTTCTCTATATAGATTCTGTACCAAGTTGAAATCTAATTTAGCTAGTTTTAAGAGCAACTCATTCTTGGATTCTTCTTTTTCGTAGATTGATATGTAATAATGTGCTTCGACTCTAGGAACACCCCATTGAAGTGGTTGGATTAGAGCTCGAGCTACTTTCTCGTTAAGAGGAGCTTCCAATAGTGGCAAGGCTTGCTTTAGATTACGGGTTGCGAAGAGATTGGCATTTTTTAAGATGTGTTCTCCTGGATACCTTAGATATGTAGCTTCATACAAACTCAGCAAACCCTTGATGTCATTCGAAAAGGCTTCCTTGAATGTGCCGTCATCATTTGTAAATTTATTGAAGACGCCTGTTTTAAGAAGCACCCAGCCGGTCATGTTAGCCAGCGGCTTAAATTTAAGATTAAGGAGGAAAATAGCAATTTTAGTATTTGTAAAGGACACCAATTATAAGAACTAGAGAAAATTGCAAAAAATATCCCTTGTGTATACAACATTATCCCTTTTGTCCTATATTTATCTTGCTGGCAAAATATATATTATACATGTTTGCAAAAGTCGGTATTTATGTCTTTTAGCCGCATGTGACGTTCACACCACGCACTGTCACGCGTGGCCAAATGATATAAATAACAACTTTTATAAACATGTGGGATATATTTTGCTAGCGAGATAAATACAGAACAAAAGTGATAATGAGGTATAATGGGAGATATCTTTTGCAATTTTCCTTTAAAATTACATGATCATATATCTCACTTGTCTTGGTTCCAATGACAATTTTGTATACTTTCAATAAGTGAGTGAGATACAAGACTATTTCATAAAGAATATGTTTGAGAAGGATCAAAGTAATAATGCATGTTACTTATGGGACAAGAATTGAATTCTTCTTAACAAATTAAATATGACATATATGGTAGAATTAGTGATTCCTATATCTTCAAGACACTATCTAAAATTAAGTGAAGCTTTAAAATATGCAATGAAGATCCGAAACAACATACCGCTAGGAGCATTGTAGCCATGTTGTCTGAACAATCGAAAATGCAGAGCAGTCGAAAAAAGGTCGCTGTCTTTATCATCCTCATTTTGCATCTCAGATTCGAAGATCTGTGCGATCTGGTCGTCGATCTCTTTCTCAAAGTGATAGGCCAATCCTAATCGCTCTATTGTGTCGATGAGAATCATCTTATCCTTTGCTTTACTTTCCTTGTTCATCACCGTTCTCCTCACCTTCTCCTTCAGTGTTTCAATGACAGCTTTGGTATGTGTTTCGTCTACCTGCAGCGCCACTTGATACCACAAGTTCAATCACTCATGTATATATATGCATCAAGAAAATTAAAACTCGAAGCCAGTAGGAACATAACCTGATTTGGGGCAGAAAACAAAGCATCATTCCAGAAACTTGCAGGATGATCCTTGGTTTGTCGGATAATCGGTTCTTCGAACACAGGATTGTCGCCGCGGTCGGAAACAGCCTTGGGAGTGGTGGTTCTAGATAGCAAGTACAAACTCCTATCATTCTGATGCTTTAACATTGTATTAAACTTCACAAGGTTTGATTCGTGCTTAGATTTATTTCCATGTAATGTAAGAAAGGACAAGGCTTCACCACTTTTCCCTACATAGTGAAAAATAGGTTTTGGAAAATCAGGGAGAAGAAAGCTCGAACAACAGGTAAATGCCATAGCCATCAAGTTTTCTTTTCTTGATTATAACATAGGGAATGGATGAACTTGAAGATGGTGTTTTTTATAATACTGTCTATATATAATTGATGGCCGTCTCAGATGGGTGTACTAATAATTCTGTTCCCTTATTTTTTTAATAGTATTTTTGAGATAAAATAATAAATAATATTGAATGTATTATTTTTATTAAAATAAATATATAATAAAGAATAAGATACAAAGTCAACGCACCTGAATTCTCAATTTGTTAAATGACTTATTGTATAGAATATTAAATTTTAGGTATAATGTTTTTGAAAGACAGAAAAAAAAAAAAAAAAAAAAGTAAAATAAATAATAAATAGGCAACAGCACGTTTTGTGCTCTAAAATCTAAATGAAAAACTACTATGTTGTTTTGATGCTCTGTTCTTTTATTCTTTTTAAATATCAAATTCTCTGTTATTTAAATTAGGGTGTGTTTTTTTAGGATGTTACGAGTAAATTTGGGTTTAAATTTGATTTTTATTTGAATCTTGAAGTAAGTTTGAATTTATGTGTTTTTTTTGTATTTGAGTTTATATTGGGTTTGGAGAATTTTGATGTGTATTGATTTCATGGTAATTAATATAATAATATAAATATGTATTAATTTGTATAATTTGATTATAAATTTATTTTATATCTATATATATATATAGTATAAACTTATATTTATTTGTGTTATAAAAAAAAATTATTCTCTAAAAAGATTAAGAAAAAAAGTAAAAGTAAAAAAAAAAAAAACCGACAGCTGCGTCGTGTCCCTTCAAAACCAAGCAGTGCAAGTTTGGGCAGAAACACTGAGCCCAAACACTATGTTTCTGCCTAAACTTGGATTGCAAAAACACACCCGTGTCATATATATATATATATATATAATAAACTTAATAAAATAGTAAAAGGAAATATAAAAAAAAATTGTGTTTGGAATTATGAAGAGCTTTATAAAATATTTTAGTATTACATTTCATAACCGATCAATGCAAAAATAAGCATATATTAAGATCACATGTAGCGAAAACATTTGTAGTTTTATTCCCTTTCGACTAACAAATATTGTCTTCTTACCACCAGACACATTAAGTACAATGTGAGTCTCATCTACTTCCCCAATGCAATCTTGAAAATATGACCAATACGGCTATCATCTCTAAAATATTCTTGAGCATCTTTGAAATTACTATAAATAGGTCTAATTATTTCAATGCCTAATTATCGAACAACCTTAAGACTATGAATATGCATAGATATTATCTGCCAAAAATTTTGAAATCTTTCTTCTAACTCTCTCACTGACGAAGCATGTCCAATCATGTATATAAAAAAAAAACACCTACAAATTTATGTAGACTGACATTTTTTTGAGTTGATTCCAATCCAAACTTCATATTAAGGTTGTTGGGAATTTTGGTTGTTTAAGGCCTAATCCGACAAGTCACTCGATAAATAATTAGTTGGCCCACTCTGTAGCCCGATCCACCGGATTGGTCCAAACCCTTTAACCCAAATCCATTTACCCAAACCCACTTTATCCTAAAAAAAGTTAGTTAGGTTGTTGATTTGGTTAGAATCATAAGTGAGTTGGTTATGGTAAGTTAATATAAAAGAGTGGGCTTAGGAGTGAATTAAGTGATGTGAGATCAAGAGTTAGAGATAGAGAGGGTGAGACCTTGAGGGAGAGGGAGAGAAACCGATAGGTTCCGGCGAGTGATTCTGGTGAGTGTCAAACCCTTTCTGATGGCCGATTCCGGTGGCGTCGAGGTTTAGAGTGACGCGCCGACCTCTACCTTGTGGCGGTGTTACCTCGGGCCATTCTCGCACCATGGACTGAGCCGAACGTCGCGTCCCTAACACCGGCGAAAGAAGATCGAAGTCGATCGAAGGTTTCGTCGTTGCGGAAGGAGTTCCGGAGAAAAGGATTAGAGTTGCTGTTATTGGAGGCTGTTCGTTGGTTCCTCACTGCCTAGCCGCTGGTTCACCGGAGGAGGTGCAGTCGCTGCACGGAGTTGCCGGAAATCGGAGGAAGCTGATGTCCGTCAGAGAGGCCGTCGTCGTCGGCGGCTTCGGTTTTTCAATTGAAGAGAATTGAAGAAATCTTTCTCCCAAATTTTCAATTGCCAGAAGGAACGAAACAGGGAGTTTTGTTTTTCTTTAATTCATTCCTAGGTCCTGTTTGTTTGGTTATTTGATTTCCCAATTTCAATACCAAATTATGCTTTGGTTTAATTTCATTTCGATTTCTGTTTAAAATGTTTAATTTGATTTGAATTTGCTTCCGCTAGTTCATTATCGTATTTTTATACACGAAGTTTGTTCGATAAATCCAAAGGATTCGAGAATAAATTCACAACAAATATTGTTTTTATACATTTACAAATAAAAATTTATTTGACCAAAAAATTTAAAAAATAATAAAATAAATTTATTCACATTCAATGAATTGCCCATAAATCAAAGTTATTCAAGATGTATATATATACATATATCATTATTTCATTTTAAGATTTTTATATCCTCAAGAGAAAATATATGACTCATAACGGCTTCCAATTCATTTTCCCTAATATAGACAAATACTTCTATGTATTGTTTGTTGACAAGTACTCGTAATATCAAATTATAAACATCAATCAAATGTACCATTGCAGACAGATCTTTAAGCATTTTTAGATAACCATTCAATTTAGGAGTATTATTCTCTTTCACAACTTCTGATTGATTCATACTAAAATCCATTAGTTGTCAATGGATACCTGAAGTCCAGTTTTCTTCTCATTCTTTTTTACTTTCTTTCTTTTTTTTTTATGTTTATTTTGTGTGCTCAGTTCTTTGTCAATTTCTATATAATTATCACTAGCATCCATCGGTGAATCTAAAATCAAATCTTCACCATTAGCAAGTTGTTTGTTGCTTTCATCTTCACTTGGCTAAAAAATATATTCACCCGTAGCAATTACATCTTTAAAATATTTTTCCTTCAAATCTAGAAATTTTGAAGGAGCATCTTTAAATATGAGATGCTTTGATTCTTCATGTATACGTATATATAAAGAAAAAAATACATATAATAAACCACTTCCAATTACTTATATATTTAAATAATTAAAAGTGTCACGTAATTTAGCTTTTGAAGTCCATATCTCTTGTGTTGTGATTATTGTTTTCTTTATAGGATCTCATTCAATTAGATGAAAAATTAAAAAATTAACAAAAAATATAAAATTTGAAGATGAAGATAGATATTTGCACTGCAATCAATAACGGTGTTGGCAGCGAAAACAGTAGGAAAATCAAAGAGGAATGCAAAATGAAAAGCAAACATAGATAGAGAAAAATCATTGCAAAGGAGAAAGAAATTGATCAATGGTAGCGGCTAGGTTTATGGTTTGTTATAAAATTTATTATTATTTTTCATCGGAATAAATTTTATTATTAAGGATAAATTTGCAAATTTATTGTCAAAATTGTTTTTTTTTCTTTTTTTTTTTCAAAATCACATCTTAAAGTGCTTCTAAAAAAACACTTTTGGAGTCCAAAATTTGCTCCTACTTTTGATAGAAAGCCAATACAAATAAGATTAATTGCTTTTTTTTAAGAAGTAGAAGCCAAAAATATTTTACAAAGTCTATCCAAACAGGGCCTTAATCTTTATTCAATCTTGAATGATCTAGCACCTATTCATCCATATACGGAATTTGGCTTAGCACCGGCCCAACTTAAGGGGTATCACACCCATCCATACCTCTAGATTTTGTTCCAATTTAGGCTTTTGATCCACCTCTAACCTTGTTTTCTAATATTAAACCGGTTGCAATGCCTAGATATTCTTTACTTTGTCAATCGCATCAAGTCATTCACTTACTTATTTGCATAATTATCATTGTTTTTCTATTATCCCATCTTTGTATGAGTCCATATCATTTCACGAAGCAAAAATTTAATCCATTGTGGCAACAAGCTATATAAGAAGAGTTGTAGGCTTTAGAATAAAACACTTATATGAGACTTAGTTGATATGCCTTTAGATAAATATCTATTGATTGCAAATGAGTTTCCAAGATGAAAAACTAATTATGATGGGTCCGTTGAGCATTACAAGACTCATTTCGTTGCGAACGGCTCCACATGTATGGTTTTTCAAGTTCAATTCAGTTTTCTCTCAATTTAGATTTACTTTCAATTTACATGACTCTGTTTTGTTTATATGTCGAAGTTCTTATGGAATCGTTATTTTACTTTTTTATGTTGATGATACGCTCGTCAATGGGGATGACCGATCTGGTATATCTGACCCACAAGACTACCTTTTGCAGCATTTTGATATGAAAAATCTTAGTCACCTTCGTTATTTTTGGGGTCTTGAGATTTTTTATAGTTCCAATAGGGTATTACATGTTACGGGCTAAGTGTGCTTCTGATTGGTTTTCTTGTGATGGTCGTACTAAATGCAAGACAGCCCCAACACCCCTCGACGTTGGATGTTGCCTTACACTGATGGATGGCACTCTTCTTTGAAGATCGTTTTCTTTATTGTCAGCTCGTTGGGAGCTTGATTTATTTGACAGCCACTTGCCCTTACAATGCCAACGATGCCCACTTGGTTAGTTAGTTCATGCAGTTCTACGTATTCTCTGTTATTTTTAAGGGAAGACGATTTCATGGATTACACTTCTCAAACCAGTTTCTTTAACTCTATTTGGTTATTCCGATGTTGATTGAGCAAGCATTAATCCTATAGATTGTTGCTCCACCGCTAGTTTATGTTTTTTTCTTAGCGATTCTCTTGTTTCCTTAAGTACCAAGAAACAAACTATCATCTCTCATTTTAACACTGAATGTAAATATTGTGCCCTTCCTTACGCTACTTCAAGTTCTTGTGGCTTCATTGGCTATTTGTGGACCTTAGGGTACCTCAGTCATCTCTTATTGATCTGCATTGGAACAATGGGATTGTTATTCAGATTTCTTACAAAAATATTTTTCATGAATGTATTAAATATATTGAGATTGATCGTCATCATGTTCATCATCATGTTGCTCACGAAAACTTGGAATTTTGTTCGGTTTTCTCCCACGATCGAATTGTCTTGACTAAGTTACATCATCCTGCTTCATTTCAGTCTCTTTTGCACGAAATCAAATTGGATTCTACATCCCTACTTGAATTTGATGGGATATAAAAATATTTATTTTATTTTTGTTATTTATATTTGAATTTATCCGTTTTATACTATACTTATAAATAAGGTTTGACTTTATTGTTAATAAAGTATTATTTTCTACCTAAAAACTAACAATGAAGTTATAGCCATAATAGATAATTGTGCCCAATATTTTTTTTATAAAGGTAAATTGGATAAATATCCATTATTGTATATTTTTCCTTGATTGTAAGTAAAGGATGAATTCGGCACGCTCTATCATTTATTTATAATTTATTGATATTTCTTTAAATTTTGAAGTATAATTTTTTTTTATATTTATTTATTTATTAGGAAATATTCTATTTTTTTTTATAATGTGAAAATTTACCGCCGCTACTCGAGGTCACGAGTCCATCCCCATATACCACCAAGACATCTGTTACGGGACAGGAATATTCAAGGAAACACTGTGTTTATTTGGGAGATTGGATTTCCAATCCACTATTCATCTCATTTTTTTTTTTCAAAAATATCAAATCAAACACCTATTTTTATTTTTTATATTATACTAAAAATTAATTTTACATTCAAAATATCTCATCAACACCTATTTATATCACATCATACAACTATTCAAATTCAAAATTTTTACTATTCAAATCCCAACTCAAAATCTAACTCCCAAACAAACACACCTTAAGTAAACAATGTATGGCAGACAAAACTTAGACGTGTCAAGAGTTTGAAATCCTCGTACCACCAAGACATTCGTTACGGGACAGGAATATTCAATTTTGGTATTATGTCATGATGTCCTCGCATTATAGTAACAGCAAAATTCTAAAATTTTAAAATAGTCGGAGAGTTCAAATAAATAAATAAATAAATTTGATTTATGTCTCATATTATAAATTTTAAAAATATATGTAATACCGAGAGTTGATAGAGATGAATTGGGGAATATGTGATACCCCGTTGTTAAATAAAGATAAAATAGATTGTATAAATTACTCATGTCAACAATATCTGCATTTCTTTTTGGTAGCTATTAAATTGATTGAATAGAAAACGTGATGGAATGACTAGCGGTGATCCGTGGGGTCAGTCTAATTCTGAAACGCGACTTAGGGAGGGTGTTACAATACATATAAATCCATGTATCCAATTTATATATTTACTCACATGGAGACAATGAGAGTAATCTTTTGGACATTCTAATATGTTTCTATTTTAACTTTTTTATTAGCAAAAAAATACATCACAATTTTAACGGCTAATGAATGTTAATAGTTATTGAACAACCCTTAAAAAACCATGTCAGAAAAAATTGAACTAATATTACGGAGTTATAAGCTCTATTGGATCATTTAATTTGTGACATTGGATTATTGCATTGGAACTATGAATATGAATGTAGTCCAAGAGTCATATTAATGTAGGCACCTACTGGAACTATGAATTAATATAGTCTAAAGGTCAAATTCAAGCATGCATTAGGAGGATTTTATGATTTTATAAGTAGCAAAATTGTACAAAATTAGTTTACAAATTGTGTCAAATTTCTCCTACTTTTACTACTAAAAAAATATGAAATTGCCGCGAAAAAATTGTGGCGAAAGTATTCATGGCACAACAATTATAATGAATTTATAAAAAAATTATATATAATTTAATTGTTGCGAAATTCTGCAATAATAATTATTACAATAAAAGTATAAATAATATTTTCACTATTTGTCACAGAAAGCCCCAACATATAGTTGGATTAATTTATTATCTTCTACGATTTGCATATCAATATTTTTAAATAAAATAATTAAAATATTGTTGTGTGATTCGCTACAATATATTTATTTTTATTTTTATAATTTGTCGATTTCAATATGTAACTATCAAATATCTTTAAAATATGTTGTGATTTTTT